GGCGTACTCCCACGATTTCTCAACAATCTGGCACAGGGCAAATATATGGTCAGAGGTGCTTCGACCGGGCGGATAGCCACACTGCTCTTCTTGAATCTTGACGTCAACTATTTCACGGCACCTCCTTTCTAACACCTTTAATGCCAGTACAGCCATTAAACATGTGCTATCGATTTATAGTTGAAGCCACTAAAAACTAGAGTTTTTTTGACTTTTATTACTATTGCGTTTCCTATGCTCTTCCTGTTATAATCATGGTATGATATATTGTCCTGACGTTTCTACGGAGTGTATAGTGAAACGCTTTTGTAATAAAATTATAAAAATCTGTGTAAATAGTGCCCTCAATTATTAATCGGCAGCGCATCTGCAATCATTAATATGATTTGCATTTAATATGATACTAGGAATAAATTGCTTAGCAATTTTAATACTATACGCAACACAAATCAGTTAAACATCTACATTAAAACATCAATGTATCGCATTCCATCTTCCGATTTGTATCACTCCACGTGCGGGTAAAAGCTCAGCATTCGAAAGAACGAACTAACAAACAAAACAAAATATCGAACACAGTTAGTACGCATGTGCGGCGACGAACAAACTCTCCTTCGCCTTATCAGACGCAAATTCCCCAGAGTATTTTCCAATCGAAGCCAAACCATTGGCCTAAATTAAAAATGGGTTAAACTTTGGATCTGATCAGAGGAGACTGGCTACCTTTGCTCGCTTTAGAAACTCGGTCTGCGCCGCCGGTACATTTGCATCCTGACCCTTCCAAGTAACCAATGCTGTTGCTTGCAAAGCCCGACCAAAACTAAACGTTAGAGCCCATGGTTTCTTACCAATATACTGATTAATGGCATTCAGATTTTGCGTTGCATCTTCTTCGGATTGTCCACCAGACAAGAAAACAACACCTGAAACAAGTGAAACAAAACTAAAAGTTTATGCAAAGAAGGTCATCAAACCAGGTACTGCAACAGGCACCGTCCGCTGCAAAGCGGTGACGGTTGCTTTGCCTATCTCTTCGTGGCTGCATTTAGTTTTGCAAGCCTGTCCCGGAGTGACCATATTCGGTTTCAGCAGTGTCCCCTCCAGGAACACATGGTGATCATTCAAAGCCTTGTAAACATAGCCAAGGACAGTTTCAGTAACTTTCTGGCAACGCGCGATGTCGTGATCACCGTCGGGCAATATCTCGGGCTCGACAATGGGTACGATGCCATGCTAAACAAAAGTACAAATGTACTGCATGTTCAGCAATTCAGATTTTCAGGTAAGATACTTGAGATTATAAATTCTTAAATTAATAACAAAGTCGTGACAACAGACTCTGAGGGAACTGTTGAGGAAGACTGCAGCAATATAACACAAAATCATTGCTTGCGAAAAATGAAGACGTCATGCGTTCATCTGTAACAGCCAGTCTCATCACCGTACGGTTTATTTTGTCGTACGGAATTTAAAAATTTATTGACTTCGAGATACCTTGATGGTGCACAAGGTCTGGCCTTCGATCTTGCTCATACAAGCTAATTCGCAGAAAAACTAGGCACCAACTTTTGCATCTACATAATGAATCCGCATCCTCATGTGCCACTGGTACAAAAAAAGCATCACAGTATTTTTGATCTTTATTGTCATGCCAAATAAAACCACTTGAAAGCCTGTTTGAAGGCTCATCGGGCAGCGGTACATTGACATTCAGTACGACTTGACAGTAAACTTGTCAAAAACTTATCTAATCGATTTAAACCTGTTTGTTTTTCCTAAGACCCTCACTGAACCGTAGAAAACGCAGTTTAATCTTTGGACCATGCCCGGTAAACAAGAGTGCTCACCAAGAGCATAACGACCGCCAATAAAGCTTTGGAGTAAACCTGCGATGTCATGACTAACGATTTTAGAGTCGAAAGTTTACTGCCTAAACGATAAAATGGTTCTGATTTTTAGGAGAGATATGCAAAAATTAAATCACGCAGTGACAATAAAACAAACCAAATTACAGCCAAAAGCATGAACGAGAGTATAAGTGACCCAGTGAACGGCAGTCACTTAAAGTGCTAAAGAAACAAGTTCTATAAATTTGGTACCAACAAAATTTGGAAACAACTGTCTCTTAATCTCGACATATACAATTTAATACTCTATGAATACCACCAGAAATTAATACATATACCATCAGAAATTATTGCCAATACATTATAACTTGAAGGGTCTTGGCCCGCTGATTCTAACCTAATGAAAATTACTTATTTTACTGATCAGTAAGAGTGTTTAACAGCAACGTAGATTTAAAGGCGGCGAGTACATGCACACAAGAACAAAAATGAAAGCGTATTTGCTGCAACCTCAAAGAAACGAACGGGACACGATGACGTTTATTCAACAAACCGTTTGCTCACCTGCTGACAAATGCTTGCATAGCGTGCCAACACGTTTGCATTTTCAAGCATCGCTATATGCGACGGCGTATGAGAGCCTATCTTGAGGACGCAACGCCACTTCGCAAATTGCGCTCCGTCCTTTTTATACTGCGCACACCTCGCATTCAAGTCATCCAATCCTAAGCGAGCAAATAACTTTTAGACTACTGCGTCACAATATTTAGTCACTCATACAAACACCTATGAGGGATTCACAATAATTAAACTTCACAAACGCTATATCCCTAAAATGAATGTTTACTATTAACCTGTATGGATTATAAGTCTGTTTTAATTAGTTTGTTTTAAGCCATATTGCTGTTTTAAACGTGGCAATGCACTGTCATGTCATTGCAAATTTTGCGGATTTACAGGGCGTCATCACATCGTCACCTTGCTTCCAATAGCCTGTGGAATCGCTTAGGCAGACGGTAGTCCAGTACCTGCAGTAACTGGCCACAAAGTACCTTCGCTTGGGTGAAAAGCCTAAGGACATAACTCGATCTGTAGAAACATATAATAAATGTAAACCCTGGCATTAGGATCTGCTAGAAAATTGCTAGTTTTCGATACCGCCGTTAAGAATAACAATCCCCTGTCACTTCTTTTCATTCACACGGCGTAGTCACACCGTTCATATACTTCCATTAGTCCAGGGGACCATTTAAACACACCACGGCTCAATGGGTAAAATTAATGCTCCAAGGTAGTACTCCAAGGTAGACACCAATATCTAGTTGAAGGCTGTGTTGGAAGTGTTATGGCTGAACTGGGTAGAGAACAGAGACAAAAGACATTTTACCATGTCATTCACTACTGCATGAAGCGAAGACTGCGGGTAGTTTTAGCATTCCTTCAGTTTAGTGCCAAGTGTGAAAAATGCCGCGAAAAATTCGACAGGTTCCTGATAGTTACCCGGCAATTAGTTATTGTACACGATTACTAGGATTCAAAAAACATCCTAGAAGTGATACGGTGCCGTATCGAAGCTGATTAAGGGTTGTCTTGGTTGCAAAAAATGAAAATATATGCATCAGTCGATGTAACCCACATCATCACTGATTCCATCTCTCTGTACGGACATGATCATAAAACTCCCGTAAATCTCTTTATATACTCTTCCATCATTCAGTCTTTCTTTCAATATATTAATCTATCCTGTCATAAACAAATCTCCCCGTTTACCTACACATCCTTTAATATGTCGCTAACGAGTCGGATTAATCAGCCTTTTGTCAGCGTTCATTCATTTGCATCATTACAGCCCTTTATATCATTTCATATACATGCTTATGATTTTAACTTTTGCTTCGTCCCTCCTATCCACCAGTACATATCCACTGAAGAACATTCTTCGGTCCTATAACCCAAACTCGTATCATCTCGCTCATCCGTTCAATCATTCAATTTTTTTTTGCACCTATTCGATGAAGGTGAGCGACTGGTTCGCAATTTCGCAGAGCCGTGCGCTGTTTACGACGCTTATGCAATGAGCGGTTTACATTTACAGAGTAAATTGGTTCAACCGCTTTGACTAAGAAATCTGACCCACAGGAACTTAACAACTGCTGCAGAAGTTAACCTGTTGCCAATCATCAACCTGAGGCATAATTTCTAACGGTCAAACATCAGAAATTTGGCTACTTCAGTTTCAACTGTTAGACTCACGTAAAGTTGGCGAAACAACATATCAAACCATCATATGATGTATCATTTAGAAGTACTAAATGTGCAGTTATTCCATTGGTTTAGTTTGCTTTTTACCGTTTTATTTCTTATATCATACTTATGTTTTGAAAAAATGTACAACTCAGGCGTCGATATCACGACTCGCGCTCAGGCCGCTGTTGGCT